TTGATTAAATCTGTATGAGGTGAACAGATGGAGATGTATCTTTCCTCATGGCATACCCTGATTTGTGATTAGGGGAATCTGAATGGAAGGATGTGGGGGAAGTGTCAAAAAGGCAACATGGTAATTGCAGCCACATAGTGCACATGCAAAGGGGCAGTGATTTATATGGTCAAGTTGATATTTTTAAACTCTCCCTGCTCCTATAGAGACCACTGATTGTTACTAGTGAAATTTCTTCTTCTGCCATACTGTGTCATTGCTGGCATGGTCAAGAAGAAAAACACTAATCACCAATGAAGTATGTGCATGTCCATGGTGTGTAAAGAGCATTTGTGGTTGACCAGCATTCAGTCCCGTATAAAGCTACTGGACATACCATAACCAGTGAAATGTGCCTCCTTAAATTTTTCTTTAACGTAACAACATAATTATGAAACTAATGTATTTCCAGCAGGTTCATCTTGTCTTTTTTTTTAAAATATCACCCAGGAGATTAAGTTAAGATGTGAAAAACATAATATGGTTTTTGACAAAAAAAAGCCACATAGTTAAAATACATATGTGACTTGTAAATAATATATATTCTTTTGTAACTATAATGGAAACTATTGTGATTGTGCTTTCAAATTATCTAATATCCAGACTCTATCATACTTCATCCTTTACCCTTCTTTGTTAAGCTCCAATCCTTAGCCTAGAAAAATTCTACATACAGTATATCAACAGAAAAGAAATGATATCTCATTTATTATCTTTTTATGTTTAAAAACTGCCTACAAAGTTGGATAATGATGAGAGGTTGATGCAATGGCATAATAATGCAAGCAATAGTTTGGATGAATTGATCGTTGAATTCTCCTTGCAGAAAGAGCTTATACCACTTTATTAATGGAGAGAAACAGCAATGAATGAGATGACTTTTTAACAATAAATCATAGAAGTGCAAAAAATAAATAGAATCAGAGTGACCTTAAGCCAATTATATTTTCTCCACCTGATCTTACTCACAGGACTCTTACCAATAAAAAATGGAACACAAAACTATGTATGATGCCTTAAGAAGAAACACAGTTCATAAATGTAACAAATGAACAAACTGTTATTCCCACCTTCTACTGCCATAGATTTACAACTCAACAAGCCTGCCCCTCATTTGAAAAGATTCTACAAGGTGGAAAAAGAACATGTATACCTTCTTTCCTGCTTATTCATGAATTGATTTTATCATCATGTCCAATATATCCATTATTGACTAAAATAAAACAGACAACCCTAACACCATTTCAATGTCAAATCTGTCATGGAAACTGTTCTTCATTATGCAACAACATTTTTTAGGCTAGATTACTATAAACTGCTGGATGTAAGCAAATTTATATTTTCCCCTCTCTGTCCCCAAAAAAAGAAAAGAATAAAGGCACACTATTAATGTTATATACATGTGAAAAGCAATTATATTAAATATCAGGTTAATGGTAGGAATGTAAAGCAGCACAGGAATTAAGGAATCTTAGGCAAGATGCGTTCTGAGAAACTATACACCCAAACTCAGGTAATTCTAATCTCTCCAGGTAATTTTCTAACCCAGGCATGTCAAACTCGCAATGTCACATGACATCGTCCGACATATCAGAGCTTTTTCGCCGTTGTCGGCAATGGGGTGGGCGCGGCTCTGGTATGATGAAACCGGCCCATGGGCCGGCAGTTTGACACCCTTGTACCTAACCCAAGCAGCCTTTCTCTTATCCCTCTCTTTATTTGCCCATTTAAGCCTCATATCATCTTTCCTTTTCCTTTTAGAATATTTTAATTGTCCTATAGACAGAGTCTCCAGTTATCCATTTTTTTAAAAAAAAATTCATATTTATCATATACTTTGTTATGCATATTTAGCTTTTACGAGCCATAGTCCAAGTTCCACTACCATAACAAAGTCATCATAACCCAGGATCTAATCTAAAACAAGATTTGGCACACTATGTAAAATAAGCTATGTGCATGCTAAGAAACTGGATTTAGCTCTAACGCTTTAGTCAATTCCGTTCTAAAAAATCACAAGTGTAGGTCTGATTCATGAACTTGATATTATCAATTTCAATAATGCTTCTCACTTGGAATGGAAAAAAGAGAAGAAAGCCTGTTCTTTCTAATTAATTGATTCTTTAACCTCCTTGATAGGTAAAGGAATACACAAAGTCATAACTTGCTATACTGAATTATTAATGCTTCATTTTTAAAGTATACATTATGGTTATATTCACATTATCACATGTGAGCGTACACATAGCTAATTAGATGACCTTCTGCCCTTCCAATTTTCTTTTCTCAATGAAATAATAGTCCTTCATTTTTTGTTTTTGTTTTTAACCTTTCCTTTAAAATTAGTGTGTTTTTTTTTAAAAAAAACTTTTTTAATTTTTGTGCGCTGAGTGATAGTCTGGACAAAAAAAATATGATATAATATTTGAACCACCTTTCCTTCTATGTGTTAATCAAGACAAATTTAATTGAAAATTCAAATCTACTAAAATATTCTATACCCTGCAAAAAGTAGATTCCATAAAAATAATCTGCTTGTTTTAGCAGATGATGACATCATAGCAGATAATGACGTTAAGCTCAAAATATGAAACATAATTATTATTGTCTCATCACTGCAGCTGCAAACATTATTAATGGCCATAAAATTATCCATGCTTTTTAAAGATCTAGTTGTGCTATTTTTTCTTAATTTCTTATGGTTGTAAGTATCAAGCAACTGACTTTACCATTACATAAATGCAAATGTAAAAATAAAATCAGATGGTTTGCAGCTATTAGTACAGAAAACAAGAAAGAAAAAGTCAGATGCAGTTAAAATAAATCCAAATTGTTCACATTTTGACATGTTTTATACTGGTATTTATTTTCATCATTCTTTTTACTTCTCTTCACCCTTCCCTCAAATAATTATTTTGCCCAATCCTGTGTTCTGTTTCAAACATTTAAAAAAGAAAAAATAATTTAAAGTAATAAAATGTATCTAACACATCTTCCTGAGACAACACATAGAAATGTTGAAGTAAATGAGCCTGTGTCCACTGCTTTTTAATGGATAAAAAGATTTGCTTACAATAGTGCCAAATGAATCTATTGATTTATACAATGATACATAAAATGATACATACTCAGCAAAAACGGTCATCATTATGTTTTCCCTAAATACTGCTAATTGGTAAAGGATTGTACAAGTCTGTATTGAAAATACATGTTTTCTCTCATTTCTTCAATGGAGTCATTTTAAAATAAAGAGAGCTGTTTTATTTTGAGCACAAGACCAACAATACATTACTTTCTTTAAATGTGACATAGTTTCTATTGCTTGAAACTTTGTAATCTACTGTCCATTAATAAGTAGGGGACAAGACAGGAGGGGAGGGGAGGGGAAGAGAGGGGAGGGGAAGAATGAGGAGGGAAGAGAAGGGAAATACATGGCTTATGCAAAGTTGATACCCAGCAGATGCTAGGTTTTAAAATTTCAATTTAGTGAGCTTCACAGTTTTCACAATTTAGTGAAAATATTTTGTAAGAGATGAGTTATGCCATTCACAAGCAGAAGGTACAAATTCCACAACACTTTGAAAGATTTATCAAGATAAAACTAGCTTCATCTCTTAGGCAGTGCTTTTTATCAGCAATGGCAATGAAATATCTTATGTCATCTGCTACATGATATAGCACAGGAGTAGTTCAACCATACAAATTGAGTATCCAGATTCAAATGCAGTGGAGTTCTGAAAATTTCAGTTTCTGGTAACAAAATTATGCTTTACTATTTTGAACCAAATAACTAGATCCATCTCATCGGGGTTATCTTTTCTTATTACAACTATGACACTTTAATGTTTTGATGACTCTAACAAATGTCTGTGCATCTTAGATCTTTCTAGCACCACAGGCTTGGTATATAGATCACATAAAGCCATGCATGTTTTAATTTATGGCTTGTCAAACAAGTGATAATTACTTATTTGTTCATAACACAAAGCATAAACAATGGTTTACAAATGATGATGACTGGTTTAACAATCATGTTAAAATCAGTTGAAAAAATATTTGCAGGATTTGAATGAGTTTGCATATCAACACTTCAAACAGTAGTTTGCATCAAATTTAAAATTTCAACAGTAATAATGCAATCAAATCTGCTGAAGAACAATGTCTGAACTTAGCATTCTTAGAAGCTGTAAATCTAAGAAGTTGCTTTAAGTGACTGATTCAAAATAGGCCTAACAATAATTTTATCTATTTAGATTGAAACAACTAAGCTTTTGGTTAAATGCAACAATTTGACATTTCCACGAATACAGAAAACATATTAATGTAATATGTACTCCAAATACTGAGTTATCACAATGGAATTTGATCTGTATAACTATAAGGCAGAATGGTAACAACATTCTGGAGAATTGTGGCAATGTCAAGTCTGAAACAGATCCCAACTGCACTAATGATTGAAGATTATGAAGTTTCTAAACTCAAAGCTAAAAGTCAGAAAAGAAATTTAGTTTTGGGGGAAAAAAATCCTACTTACAAGTCTAAATACATAATTGTATTAATAATTATCTGAGTAAAAGTTATAGTGTATGCTGATTTATTTGGGAAAAGACTGATGTATCATTGAATTTTAAAAAACATCCTTCGTGTCTATAGTATGTGAATTTAGAACATCCTATTCTTGAACAAGATTAAGGAATAAAATTCATTACAACTGCTTATACTAATAAACAACAATGTTAAATTTGGACTATGAAAGTCAAATCTTCAATCACAAAGGCTCATGATGATCTTAAGCCAATTAATATTTCTAACCTGTCTTAGAGTTTTATGAAGATACAATATGAAAAACCAAGTATACTGTCTTGTAAAATAAGGAAGAATGTAAATACAATAATTTAAGAGCTATAATTCATATATTTTCTGAAATATTTGTCAATACCCATAAGCTAACTCCAGCTTACCTGTTTCAGATCCAAATGTTGGCACAATATCAACTGTCCCATGAAAGGCTCCTGCCCAAGCTGAGGTAGCACAGCTGACAGTAGTAGGATCTGACTTTGTTGCATCACACTGTGGTGGAGGAATCTTCCCTGCACAAACTGAAGGCATTGGCAAAGGTTTGTACCTTGGGTCTAGATGTGAAGTCGGATGATGGTGATGATGCATGTGTACATGGGGATGATGGTGATGCATATACACATCATGCATGTGTCCATATGAGGAGCTCATCTGAGATGCTAAAGGATAATGCCAAGACTCTGTCATGTTAGATGGAGCAGGTAGAGCAGTCTGATGCAATGTATGTCCTGGCCAGCTGTTAGGATCTGCTACTGAAAAGGTGCTTGGTATAGTAATGGGAAAATCATGATGAATTCCACTTAAAGATGGTGGAGGTGGAGTTTGATAAGAACTGGTCCAAAATGAAGCTGGGAAGCTCCTCCTTTGGCTTGCAATTGTTGTGTTCTCTTTTAAGAGAAAAGCAAAAATCATATAAACCCTTAAAATGAATTTAGAAACACAACTGCTATGTAAAGAAACTAAGGATGCTCATAACTGTTTTTAAATGCCTGTGAAACTACATCAAGAAATATAATAATCACAGCACATTTTAAGATCTATAGATAAATGATCGGTGCTTTATATCTACTATAGCTTTTAAATTAAACCTGAGATTAAATTCATATTATTAAAACATAATGCAAAATAATTGAAAATCTGATGAAGTAATGATTTTTTAATCAAGGAGATAGTTTTTAAAAGTTGCATAACACCATGAAAGCAATATATAAAATTATGAAGACAAATATTTTTATCCCATCTTTCTTATAAGAATGGGATGTCTCAAACTGCCTTATAAAAGATCACTAGAGGGATGATGTTCATAAGTTCAGTGCCACAAAGAGAAGTCACAATTCCTAATAGAAAGGACCTGCGACATGCCAGTTCTGCCAGTATTCATCAGAAATGATCATAGACAGGTGCTCCTGCAGATATCCTTAGTCTATAACAGTGTTTCTTAATCACAGCAACTTTAAAATGTGTTGACTTCAAGTACCAGAATTCTCCAGCTAGCATCGAAGTCCATACATCTTAAAACTGCTGGGGTTAAGAAATGTTGCCCTATGCCAGCTATGACCTTAGAGGTGACAAACAGCTTGAATTACACCAGAAAGCACCCATGGACTGCAAATCATGGAGTAGTATGTTGAACATCTATCCCAGCAATAAATCTAGGACAGTGGTGGCAAACCTATGGCACGTATGTCAGAGGGGGCACTAGAGCCCTCTCTGTCGGCATGCACACCTCACTCTTCAGCTAGGTTTTCTCAGGAAAAAGCCATTTCTCAAGCTCCTTCCTAGGCAAAACAAGCCTCCGGAGCGAGCATGCCTCGCTCTTCTTAAGAGCAATTTTGTGAAAACAAGCCTCTGGAGCGAGCACACTCACTCCGGAGGCTTGTTTTGGTTAGGAAGGGGCTTGAGGAATGGCTTTTTCCTGTAAAAAGGTAGCCAAAGAGTGAGGTGCACTCACTCCAGAGGCTTGTTTTGCTAAGAAGGGTCTTGAGAAATGATGTTTTCCTGTGAAAACCTAGACAAAAAGCTGGCAGTCTCTGCCAGATCTCTGTTGGGATAAAGTCTTTTAGCTCCTAGAGCACTTCCAAACATAGCCAGTCATTCTGTTTAGAAGCACTCCATAGGTGCCGAAACATTTTTATCCCAATGGAGATCTGGCAGAAGGCTCCGTTTCTCAAACGCCCTATTTTTTTATCCCAACAGATATCTGGCAGAAGGCTCCGTTTCTCAAGCGCCCCATTCCAGGCATATGGAGCTTGCAGTCTCTGCCAGGATTGGGAAGCTTGAAAAATGGAGCCTTCTGCCAGATCTTTGTTGGGATAAAAAAAATGTTTCTGCACCTATGGAGCGCTTCCAAACAGAGGGACTAGCTGCGTTTGGAAGTGCTCTATAGGATCTAAAAGACTTTATCCCCACAGAGATCTGGCAGAGACTTCAAGCTCTGTATGCCTGGAATGGGGCACTTGAGAAACGGAGCACTCCTTTTTGTGCAGTCACACATCGTGCTTCAAAATGCATGGAATCCCTGCATTTTGAATAGCCCCACCAGAGCATAAACACTCCACAATCCATAATGCCAAACCCTAACCCCCCACCATACCCCAGGACATCCACAATGCCAAATCCTAACCTCCACCCCAGGGCAACCACATTCCTTCACTAACCTCCTTTCCAGCTTTGTTCTCCATGTGCAGGGCAACAAAAGAAGTTTGTGGGACTAAAAAAAAAAAGATCAATCTGACCTTTCAACTTCTCATGAAAAAAATGATCTCTCAAAGTTAGAAGGTCTGGTTGAACATTTTTTTTTTAACCACTGATCCCACAAGCTTCTTTTTTGCCCTGCACGCGGTGGTGGAGAATAGAGCTGGAAAGGAAGTTAGTGAAGGGAGGCTTTGGGGAAGTGAGGAGAGGGGCCTGCTTTGGCTTCTGTTGCCTCATTCTGCCAGCATCAGGGCTCAGAGGCTTTTTTTCACCAGGAAAAAGCCATTTCCCAAGCCTCTTCTTTCCAAAAATGGAGCCAAAGCACGCTTCTCTCTTATTGAGAACAATCCTGCAAAAACAAGGATGACAAAGGACAGCACAGTTAATTCTGAAAATGAAATCCTTAAAATGTGGAATTCTCTGCCAAATCATTTTAAGCCAATGAAAGCACTTGGGATTGCTTTCATTGCTTTGTTTGGATCATTTTATGCTTGTGAGCAGCGGTTTTCAGCTTTGAATTATATCAAATCTGACACCAGAAACAGACTAACAGATGACCTGAGTGCGGCATGTGTTGCTCTCAAACTTACAAAGTATGAGCCAAGGTTAGACAAATTATCAGCATGCATACAACAGCAAAAATCACATTAATTGTTCAAAAGCATGCCAAATGCAAACTTTTACCTTTCAATAAAAAGTTGTTTGTATCATTGAAAGCTTTGTTATTGTGTTTTTCTTTTAAGACAAAAGATGTTAATGTACGAGTTGTTTTTTCTGAACTAAAACCTCAGTTTTAAATTGCCATGTTGGCACTTTGCGAGAAATAAGTGGGTTTTGGGTTGCAGTTTGGGCGCTTGGTCTCTAAAAGGTTCACCATCACTGGTATAGGTGGTACCTCGCTCAATAGTAGTAACTGTGGGAGGGATCTTGGAGTCCTAATGGACAATCACTTAAATATGAACCAGCAGTGTGCTGCAACTACCAAAAAAGCCAACATAGTTCTAGGCTGCATTAACAGAGGGATAGAATCAACATCACGTGAAATGTTAATATCATTTTATAATGCCTTGGTAAGGACACACTTGGAATACTGCATCCAGTTTTGGTCACCATGATGTAAAAAAGATGTTGAGACTCTAGAAAGTGCAGAGAAGAACAACAAATATTATTAGGGGACTGGAGGATAAAACATATAAAGAATGATTGCTGGAATTGGATATGTCTAGTTTAATGAAAAGAAGGACTAGGGTTGACATGATAGCAATGTTCCAATATCTCAGGGGTTGCCACAAAGAAGAGGGAGTCAAGCTATTCTCCAAAGCACCTGACGGCAGGACAAGAAGCAATGGATGGAAACTAATCAAGGAGAGAAACAACCTAGAACTAAGAAGAAAGTTAGAAGAATTAACCAGTGGAACAACTTGCCTCCAGAAGTTGTGAATGCTCTAACACTGGAAGTTTTTAAGAAGAGACTGGACAACCATTTGTCTGAAATGGTATAGCATTTCCTGCCTGAGCGGGCGTGTTGGACTAGAAGACCTCCAAGGTCCCTTCCAACTCTGTTATTCTATTCCAGTGATGGCGAACCTTTTAGAGACCATGTGCCCAAAAAACTAGGCCCACCTCTGCTCCACCCTTGCCCCTGCCCCGCCCCCATCCTACCTGCCTGCAGGGTCACTCACTGCCTCCAGGGCCTGCTGCAGATCACCCAGCAGTGCCATGGCAGCCACGCCCTCTGCCCTTGCGCCGCAGCATCCACTGCATGTGATGGGGTTTGAGGCAGAGTCTTATCTATGCTGCCTAGCTGCCATGTCCTTGACTGCACTGCTTCGCGTGAGCCACACTTGGGGGCAACCCTTCTCCAGGAGGGCTGCTGGTGAGGAGGGTGTCATGGGTGGAGGCAAGGCTGGGGCAACAGCATGTGTGCCCACAGAGAGGACTCCAAGTGCCGCCTCTGGCACCCGTGCCATAGGTTCACCACCACTGTTCTATTCTATTCTATTCTATTCATGTTCATTTTATCTATCAACTGAAACTCAATATATATAATGACCAATGTTATTCCACATGATAATTGGGCAAATAATTTTTTGGTATATGTGATATCTGTCATGGTTTGGACAGATGAAACCCTTCAAAAGAATTTTGAGGCAGTCTCAAGGATTGTCGTCGGCTTTTCTCCCATCTACCAATGGAGCGGCTGAATCTGCAAACTCAATGGTGGAGAGGTCCAGGTGCCTTCTTAGGGAGAGGTCGTAAGGTGGAATCCCAAAAAGGTTTCAGCAGGCTACAATGGAACATACGGGGACTTTTCCTGGAAGTATGGGAAGGTTTAATGCTACCATGACCGGGTTAATGATCCTTATGATAGGGAAGGGTCCTAAGTATCTCGGTCCTAACTTCCTACTAGGTAACTTAAGCTGTAAATATTTTGTGAACAAATAAACCTTTCCCCCAATTTGGAATGACCTTTGAGGAGCTCTCAAATCTATTTCCATTGCTTTTCTTTGTCTTTTGAATTTTAAATTATTCTTTTTATTTATCTATATATTAAAGGATAATAATAAATAAAACATTCCCAACCGTTTTTACACATTTACATATTTAGATTCCATCCATCTAGCTACCCCAATTTCTCTAGTTGCATATCTTTTGTGCTGGTTGCAGATAAAGGTATGTGTAGCATTGTATTGTTTTTGTTCATTAAATAAAGGTAATATAGTAAGCTGAAAGAAATCACAATATGTGTTTTTACATATCTATGAAGAAAACAATGTGCAATTTAGTTTTCCTTTCAAAACTTACCTCTACATAAATCTGTTTTGGTTTTTGAAAGAACAGCATCTGAATTAAAGTTGTTAGCTTGATTTAAAGCTCTTGAGAAGTGTTCATCCACAACTGAGCCAATGTCTCCCTGAAAGTAAGTGAAAAGGACGCAGCGAGAATTAAGGTATTCCATTTCAGTAGGCTGATCTTTGTCATCTTCCTCTTGCTTATTAGAAAGTGTCACTTCCAGAGTTTCTTGCATCTTGCTGTATACAACTATTTTATTCTAAAGAGAAAAAAATTGATAGACAACAGAACAATACATAATTACATATCAGAAAAGTCAATGATCATTAACATATGAAAATGAATATAGATTGTGTATTTGTTACAACTGCACTCATGTCCCATTCTACATAGTAGGACATTTGCTAATTAGCTACTATCATGGCCTGTTAGGATCCCCTTTATATTTCCCATCTGGTTATTTGCTTGTGATAGGAAAAAAAAATAAAACAAACTTTTCTGAATGTTTCAGAATAGTGAAAAATTGAGTAAGAATTCAAATATGAAATACAGAGGCCATAGATTTTGATGAAAAAGAGAAGAATGCCAGCAATTTATTATTTCAATGTTATTCAGTTTTAAGATGTTTCTTATTTCCCAAAAGCAAATTCTTTGTGGTATTTTTGTGCAGATTTAAACTGAATAAATAATAATATAGAAAATAGAAGAATTATAATGTCAATCATGTGCTTAATTTCTTGGAAGTAAGTCTTAATTATTTTCTAAAAAACAGACAATTATGCTAGAAAAAACAGCCCAATTTAAAGACAACTATTTTCAAAATTTTCCCTAACTTTTTACAAAAAAACTTCACCTATTATGATATAATACCCTAATATTCTATTATAAAAATAGGATTTAAATAGAATAAATTATGTTTCAAAGCAGTTTAGATTTCTAGATATGAAAAACATCTGTTTCTTGACATACAAGTTTGTCCAAAGTAGATATTAATGTCATACAATTTTAAATGATAAATCAATAAATATTACTTGAGAGCTAAATGACCCTTTGAGAGCTGAATGCAATGAAATTTCATTTTAATGTATGCCGATTAGTGTACATTCAAAGTGACAATAAAGTTATTATTCTATTCTATTCTATTCTATTCTATTCTATTCTATTCTATTCTACTTTAAATAAACTTGAAAACCTACATCCAAAAATCAGTTACAATTCAACTGAAGGGGAAAGGTCCAAATTTACATTGCTCTGACACTAATATACTGCAGGATGGGCTTGAAATAATTAGCTTGGCTGTGATAAAACTGGTCTTACAGTAGTAGAAATTTTAAAAAACAGAAATCATTGGAGTTTAGACCATATTTGTGAATTCCAACCAAGATGGTATTAAGGGTTACTTCCCATGTATGGAGAAAACATTTTTGTGTGTGTGTGCATAATAATGATAAAACTTCATGGAATGCAGTAAAAACCAAAAAAAAAAAAAAAAGAGAGAGAGAGAATGAATTCTCAGATGACTATATTGGGGCCAAGTCAATATTAGTCCCACTTCACCCACGCACAGCATAGTCTAAAAGTGCTGTCATCCTGATAAGAATGTCCCGATTTATTTTGCTATATCAGATTCTTAAGTCAAGGGATAAAAACCTGAATTTCAAAAATAAAATTTTCTATGTAATTTTTTCATTATTCTTTAAAATCCATACTGTGATCAAATATATAACAAAGTGCTGCTTTCTATTATTTATTCAATTTTGGCAGAGCATTCTGCACCCATTTAGCAAAGAAGTTGTATTTAATTGTATTTAATAAGCATATCTGCTGAAACTGCTGCCATGGTAAATATATATGCAGACATTTGATTCATATAATTCTTAATTTTGTTTGGAACTGACATAATACTCATCTCAAGAATAATAGACTTAATTAAAAACAAACAACAAGCAGTTGAAACAATATAAGCAACATAGTCTTGTGGCACTTTTAGCAGAAATATACTAAAATACTCATACGGTGGCAAAGATAAACTGCCATTTTCCATGTAGGATCATTTTGGATGATAGTCGGACTAAGTTTTGTAGGGCTATGTATAAGGTGTCGGTAGTAAGCCAAAGCATGTGTTCATGAATACAACTGTGAGCAAGTGACTGAGTAAAACACTGTCTCTGATTGGATTCATATGACCTTTTATTTGTAGTCTGCATGTTGAAGAGATGAGTATTGCTCCTAGATTAAAGAATTTCAGAAGAACGTTTGTGTGTATGTGGTGTGTGGCTGAAGACAGGTCTCAGAACAGAGCAACCAGCCAGTCTGTTCAACCAGGTATGTTCACCTAAGGAGCTAATACCAGTAGTCAAGCTCCTAAGTGATACACAGCATTGGTTAAACTCAAAGACCCTCAGCCCCTTCTAGAGATAAACATCCAGTGCTCCTTTTTGAACAGACACTTCATCATTTTTTTCTCACTCCTGGGTTCATCCACCCCACCTCTTCCAAAAATGGGACTAGCAGAGTTCGTTATTCCCATTTCTGCTTTCTCCTCTCACTATGAGAACGACAGCTTTCCCGTTGACTTGTTAAGAGTCTCACCTGTTGGCTCGGCGTCACCACTGGGCTGGAGAACGGACAAGGACTCGTGGAACAGACGGCGGACGCTGCGGGCAGTTTCACCTGGGACGGGTGACACGTCGCCTGCGCCTGATGCCTCACCACATCCGAGCAACTCATGATACCAGCAGGACCTGCTGTTGCTGGTCCCGACAGTTCTACGCTCCAGGCACAGCTACCTTTTCCCAAGTGATCTTGACAACGGTGCTTTGACGGGACTGCGAAGCCAAGAGGCGTTCATCTTGAACTGGCGGCCGCTTTAACACTTATGTAAGAAGTTCTGAGGCGGCGGCGGCGGCGGGCGCATAAGAAGGCATCGTAGCCACGGGGAGGCAGAGAAGCGCAATACGCCTCTGCCGCCCTGATTATCATATACGCAATACGGAGCCCCCACGCTCGACCAGTTGCCAGAGCACCAGGCAGCGCGTCCCAACTTAGGAAACTCCGCCTTGCCTCTTCGGATTGGAGCAAAGTTTGCTTCGAGACTGAAAGTGGATTCTCACAAAAAAGGAACTGCCGGACTCCTCCCTTTATGCCGGTTGACAGTCCGCTGTGTTAGATTGGGGTGTTGCTGTTGTATTGTTTTTGCTTTGTGAAGGCGGAGAATAGCAACTGCGCCCAAGGAAAAATGCGGAAATAATAAAAATGTTAGATTTTTTTTTCTTTTGCTTTTGCTATCGATTATTTGGCAGTTTGAAGTTCATCGTGTAATATGCATCAGCCTCTAATTTAATTTTGCATTGCATTTTTTTTTGTAACCTTAGCATAAAGATAGGGCATACAAAGAGCAAGAAAACAAATTTTCTTTCTAATGTCAACAGGTACAATGTACAATGCTTTTGTAAATTGTGTTATAATAGGCAATCTTTACAGGCAGATATGGTCAGAGAATAGCAGATAATTTCAGGAAAAAAAGAAACGACAAATCTTTTAAGAATTGATGCAGATCTAACCTTTTCTTCTCATGTGATTTTTAAAAGGACACCTTGGGCAATTTAATGCCAAAATTCATAAAGCTACAACCAAACCATTTCCAACTGGAGCATTTACTGCTTTGCTAGCAGAGGAAATGCTATTATTACAAGTGCACTTTTAGAAAAATGCTTATAGTTATTTTTCTGTGGTTTTTTTAAAATTTATCTTTCAGAGGATAAGCAGCAGAATTGTTCATTAACTGATTTCACTGACAGTAAAGAACTGATGAATAATGCTACTCTAGGTTCAGGATCTCAATTGCCAAATATGGGAACTAAGTAGCTTATATTTAAAGGAAAGGAAATATTGCTGAATTTTTGCTTTATTTATGCAACATTGACTTATTGTAATGTTGTGCATCTTTTAATTTATATTGAGAAAAGGCAGATTCACATTAACTCACCTGTGTTTTTATGCTCTGCCAGGCTACAGAATATTCAGAATCTTTTTACTTGCACAATGCACACCCTCACTCACATCCACAGTGTATTAATGTATTATTGGTATCCATCCAGGAGCAGCATATGGCAGTCAGATTACCAACTGATAGTCACCATGTAATGTTACAGACTGCTTCATATAATGTGTTCAGAGATTGCCACATGCTTCAACTCATTTTTTCTAACATTTTCATCATACTGTCATCCACCCATGAATATGTAATGCTGTCCCCTATTGCAAACAAATCACCCATGTTCATTAAAAGCTTGACTGTAGTCATATACACTATAGTCATGGGCATTTAATTGGGTCATGGATGGCTGCTATATTGGATTTCATTTTGCCTTCTCTGGGATAATGTAGATTTACCACCCACATACACATTTTTTTCTGTTGAAAGGTGGCCCATTGTGTAACCAACTGCTTGAGTGGAGGGGTCAGCATGTGCAACCCATGTGTCAATATGTTACTCAGAGAACAGAACTCAGAGGGCTGCGTGTGGTTTATGTGTTATATTGCTGCATGGTGGAGAATGAATGATCCTCTTTTCTATTTGTGGTATGTCAGACTGCCTGGTCTCAGCATCCAGATTCATTGTTTGTTAGATAGGAATTGCTATGGCAATAATGTGATTAGTCAGTGTTGCCTATCAGTTCCTTTACTCCATTGCCCTTTTCTCTAACATTGCTACTGAAGAAATTATCCTGGTTCTGCATGGGGATGTGGGGGCAATAAGTGCAATTATTGCCTGGTCTGCTCTACAGTTTACTGGAGGACATCATAAGAGCTGGAATGGAAGTGCTACCAATTACCCATGACCAACCAGGTGTGGATGAAGTACAAAGAGGAAAAGGTGTACATACAATGGGAAACATCTGGTCAATCGACACAGACTGTTACCGAAAACATGTGGCAATGGGGGATGGTCAGGCCCTTTATACAGACTATTTCTGCAGGGGTATGCAAAGTTTTCTGATTAAACTTGAAATGCCTGTATAACAATGTACCAAATTTAACATGAAAAGGACTCAAAAATCTTCTTTCTTCCCCCCCCCCCCCATCTTCTCCTACTTATAGTGTGATACATGTGCTATGAGGCTAGGATCCCAACTCAATCTCACCAGAGCAACACAAGCATGCAAAAATATTCTTTTCACTCTATGACAACACTAGGAAAAGTAAATATTCTTGCAGTTATGGATATCCAGGTTGTGGGGTGGATGTTGAGGGAAAGCTGAACTTTATATTTGACCTGCTATTTCTTTTTAGCAGCCTTTGGATCACCAGCATCAATCTCTGCCCAGCTGGAGGTTGCCAGGATTTGGGTATGGGTATGATTCTATGAGAATAGTACAAAACCTGGCAATCAGGTGGCGTTCACAGGGATTCATATATCTGATACTGTTAGATATTCCACCTTGCAAATCCACCATGCAGGACTTGGCTCAGTAAAATGTGATACCCTGCTACACATTATAAAGGTTTCCATCAAAACCATTCAGGAAATACCAAGGAAAAAGCACACACTCAGTAGCACTGATAATATTAACTTGTCAGGTAATGAAATGTCTGCAAGCAAATAACCATGTTCAGAGAGCACAAAAAACACCTTCTCAGGGCAGAAGAAGCTGAACTATAGGTGGAGATTTAATAATAATTCAATGACAGTATTGAATAGTAGTATTGAATTAATAGTAATTTAATATTACTGCCCTACTGGTACACAGGACAGCACAAAGACGCAATGCTGTGATGCTGGATCCATTCTCTCATAATCTTTGTCTCTGCCATGTCAAAATTTCTCTTTCCTATACTGCAATATGGAGAGGATAGAAGTACACTGGGAATTCATCTGATGGAATTTTCAGTAAAAGTACATAAATTGACAAGAGTCTACACATGAATAACTATGTATGAAAACACAACCTACAACCTACACTTACTGTTTCAATTGTGCATCCTGTGCTTATGGTAATGAGCAGCCAATTCTATTGCTCTTGGATCAAAGCACAATGTGGCACTTCTCTTTGATGTCCCTGTCAAAAGGTGAGAGGAGCAGTTTCTCTTAATTCTAACTGCTGCTTTCTCCACATTTCAGAAGTGTAAGGACAAGAGATGATTAGACATCTATGGAATTCCTACATGTGCTTCATTAATTTTGAAAAAGCATTTGATAAAATAAGACACAGCAAACTATTAGAAATCCTGAAACAAGGGGACTAGATGACAAAAACATCCAAATCATAAAGAATCTATATTGGCATCAGGTAGTAAATGTGAGACTAGGCCAAAAATACTCAGCTAATGCAGAAATAAGAAGAGGGGTCAGACAGGGATATATTCTGTTTCCATTGTTGTTCAATATCTACTCTGAGTCAATCTTCAACAAGGTACTGGAGAACATCGACGCTGGCATCAAAGTAAATGGTGTTTGGATCAACAACTTAAGATATGCTGATGATACAGTTCTGCTTGCCAGTAAGCATGAAGACCTTCAGCTCCTCATCAACAGTCACAGAAATATCTGAAAAATATGGCTTGAAGCTTAACACCTCAAAAACCAAGATCATGGTTATCAGCAAACAACCCATTAATTTACCACCAATAAATTTGGAAGGAAAAATTAGAAAAAGTTGAAAGGATCACGCACCTCGGTTCTAATTTACATGAAAGCTGGGACATGACCACTGAAGTAAAGACAAGGACAGAGAAAGCTCAAACAGCATTCTTCAAAATGAAAAAGGTCTTCTGCAGTCACAACATAAGCCTAAGATTGAAAATCAGGCTTGTCAGATGTTATATTTTTTCTATCCTGCTCTATGGAGTAGAGAGTTGGTCTCTGACAAAAGGCCACTAAAAGAGACTAGAAACATTTGAAACATGGATTTACAGGCAGCTGTTACATATAAGCTGGGTTGACAAGATCAGAAATGAAGAGGTGATAAGCTACCTGGGAAAGCCAAGGGAAATAATCAAAACAATTTAAAAACAAAAATTAGAGTATTTTGGACATGTGATGCGACACCCAGAAAAATATGGCATACTCCATTTAATCCTCCAGGGAAAGATTGAAGGCAAATGAGGTCCAGGCAGAAGAAGAACATCATGGTTTCAAAATCTAAGGGATTGGTTTGGACAAAACTCAGCAGCACTTTTTCGTGCGGCTGCTGATAAAAACAGAATCGCCAACATGATCACCAACGTCCGATAACAGATATGACACAAGAAGAAGAAGAAGGAACTCCCAAGAACAGGAACTGAGCATCCCAGAAGAGTTGTGTGATACCTTCAAAACAGATTGTAACATGTAGGGACCATGAACTCCTTTAATTCCCTTTGATTCCCTATTTCCATCCCTATTTTGTCCTTTGCTTAAAATTGTGTTCTGTTCTAAAAACAAGATTTTGGCTAGGGTTACAGTTTTGTTGTTATCTATCCCCAATGTCCTATGCTAACATGTGGGTTAACATGAATGGGCACGGGGGCTGTGCATTTGCACACAGCAGGTAGTCAGTTGCTATTCCAGGCAGGCACAGCTGCTTTCTTTTGATTTTACTGAGAACACAATCTGCAGTACAAAATTTAACTGAATCTGAAAAGCTACATATGGGCTTTCCTGGCCAGTGAACCATAACATGGGTAATCATGCAGAGAAAGAGATGCCTACAGATATGAATAGAAACATGCACAAGCACAGACACAGAAATGTGCCAATACGAATGCTTACTTACACACTATTACCGGTAGTTCCATGTGGTTGTTAAGAAATTGATGGTTTGTGGTTCTTTGAGTATCACAAAGATGGGTCAGTTTTCACTTTACTTTACTTTTCCTTGTCTCTTGGTGGAATGGTGAGATAAGATAAAAGCTTTAAAATGTGTTAAGTGCTCTCAGGAAACCTGGGATTTGGAGGCAACATACATATTAAAGTGCCCAAAGGAATGAAATCCAGGCCTTTATCAGAATTTGGAAAAAAATACTGCCTATCATCATTGGGATCCCTCCCAGAGAGGAACCCAGACTCCATAGCAAAACTCAAAATGCTTATTATAAAAAAGTAGAATTTTAAAAGCAGAACCATTGAAAGAGAAGGTTTCAGGTAATCTCAGTCTCAACAAACACAAGGGATTTTAAACACAATACATTTGTTATTTGACAAGG